CCAGGGGTAGAGCTGGAGGGTGCTGTAGTAAACCCGCTACCCGCCCCCGGGGGGGAACGGCCGGGGGGGGGGTGTCTCTACGTCCTCTTGTCTGCAAGCAGGAGCAGCCAAGCCTTGCCCTCTGTCAGGCAACTTGCAACAGCGGGGTTCCTCTCACACTCGGAGGGCAGCTCGCTCTGGTTTTCCATCTTGTCTTCACCTGTATCGGGGTTTCCCTTGATTCTCCCATTCTTAAATTGACCCTTGATACCTGTCAGCTGGTCCTGCCTAAAGGTCCCACCCAGGTGCTGGCAGTAAGCACAGTTAAGTTAAGCCACAGCTAAAATCAAAAGCACTGTTTATCCTAACGATAGAAACAGTCACTGAAGAAAAATGTTCTTAAACCTGCAAACATTACATACAGACACATTACCTACACACGCCAAGTTGTTCTGCAAGGCCTTTTTAACCTCTTCAGAGGCTGGGTAGCTCTGCCAGTTCAGCTGCTGAGCAACTCATTTTGAATTCCTGCATTTTTTTCCATCTCTCTTCAAAACCTCTCCAAACAACTCCCAGATGACAGCTGAGGAGCTGCTCCTGCGTTCCTTCCTTTCCAGCTCCTTTTCTCTGCGTCTTTCCCTTATATTAATTTACTGTAAGAATACACCAGGTTAAATTTCTGCAAATCAGCTCAACATTGAATATTCAGAAATGGCTAAAGATGGTATGGCTATGGCTCAAGGCCAAGCAGAAGGCAAAGCTGAGGTAGATGGACTGATTTAGCTTTTGTTTCTTAGTTTGGAAATGAGTATTGCTGCAAACAACCGTCATACTCAGCTTGGATATTCAAAATTAGCAGTATAGGCAGGATTTGCTCTATAACATTAACCGTTTTTTGGCTCCTGTGACCAAATACACAAAGAACATCATGCTCAACATTATGAGAAACCTCTTGGGAAGACTCAGTTCAGAAACCACCCCAAATAAATTATGACCTGGTACTTGGTAAATACTTGGTCTCGCTGTGCAGAAGCAACAGGATCTGCAGACGTTACCGAAATGCTTTTGCAGACAGGGGAACATATCTGTAATAGACACCAACACCCCTAACTCACTGATCCTTGTCACCATTACTCTATCAGGAGAGAAATGCAATTCTTTCCTTCCTGTCAAAGAGCAGCTCCCAACCGGCCGCTTTATTTCAGTCCGATTCTCGCAGTGCTGCACAGGTACAGCTTGCTGAATAGAGATGTCTTTAGGACCTGGAGGCTGTGGTCTCATGGGCTCGCTCTGTTACGGTGCAGGGCAAACCCACCTTTTACTAACCCACCCCATGAAAGGGAAACCTTAGAGGACCCGTTTCGGGGAAGCTGTGCCACCAACACCCCTGGCTTGGAGCCTCCTTACAGCTCAAATTCCACAAGCCCATTAATGGTACTTCACTGACCAAGGCGCAGTGAAGGCGAAGTAAGGACATCCCTGAACCCTACAGCCTTTGAATCCTGTTCCCAAGAAAGGAATGCCCCAAAACAAGCACCTCCGCTGCTCCTCCCACACTGCCACAGCTGTCTTTTAACCATGACTACAGTGGCCCTCAGTGAGACAAAGAAAACACCCTTTGCTTTCGCCCGTTGGATGATGCAAACCCACTTGCTGACCTTTCTGGGTGAACATTTTTCTAGTGTGAATGGGCCAGCTATGATCTCACTACCTTGTCAATGAAGAGGAAGTGGGGAAAGCCTTTTCAATGTTTAATCAAAAGAGGGCTTTTATGCAGCCTGACATCAGGGGAAAACACAAGACGGCTTTCCAACCGCGCTGCAGGAATGGCTGAGAAGGCTCTCCAAAGCCGCTCTCCCTACCTTTCCAGCGACCCTCACTCTGGGCCAGCTACTTAATGGCATGAGCAGACATTCAGCTCTCAACGTAGGATTGGCAAAAGGCTCATAAAACCATCAAATATATCAAAGCTACAAGCAGATCTGACTCTGGAGGGCATAAATATGGATACTGTTCAGAGATTTCTGGTGTGACAGTGGGGTCAGCCTACAACCTTTACAATGAACATCCTGTTCCTGCTTGACCTCTTGTCCTTTTTTCCCCCCTTCTACTTAATGACTGTTTGGAGCAGTCTTGGAGCTTGGGAAAAAAAAAAAAGTCCCCCAAAGCTGGCTGACGTATATTGATATTGCTGGTGGCAATATATTTACACAGCCACAAGAAGCAGCTGCTCAGCTGAGCCTACTTTTAGCTTGCGCCTGACTAAAATGAATGCAAATCTAAAAGCACTAAAACCGTATCAGCAGACTAAATGAGAAACTAAGACTCCTTTAACATGGTGGTGCGCTGGGGAAGCAGCCCCAGCAATGACATCCTGCAAAGCTGCTGCCAGTAGTGGAGTCTGCAGCTTCTAGGGAACCCACAGCATCCCCAGCAGCAGGGGACTTCAACAGCCAGACCTCTCCATCTCTATCTTCCCCATCACTGCAGGGGTAGGAAACAAGCACAGGGTTGCAATGTCACACACAAGTACCAACAGCAAGTTCACAATACACGGCTCAACTCTGCTGGGCATCTCCAGCTGCTTTGTACTTATTAGTTGCTACACAAAATTAACTGGAAGCTGTATCAAACCCAAAGGCAACAGCACTAGGTATCATAACCCTGAGGCACTTCGCTGTTTAGCCTCTACTCTGAACGGCTTAGAATAGTAGTGCTTCAACTTCCCCAGTTTGTTCTCAGCCCTCAAATAATTATTGATCCAAATTTTTTCCTCATTTTATCATCCCAAAGGAAGGGCAGCAAGCAAGTGTAAAGTACAATTATTTTTTGAAAGACTGAGGAAATCTGTTCAGATGTTTCTCCAGCTTATTTGGGTGTGAAAACATTTTTCAGATGTTCAGAAATGGAAAAGAAAAAGGAATCCTGCTCAGATGCGTGCCTGTGTGTATGAAAAACAATGAACTGGCTGAGACGCCATATTTTGTGTTTAGGATATACAGCGCTACGTGGGTTAACAGCACCTTTCTAGATAAGAAATCCACTGCAAGTACAGTGATCAGTATGTTGTGCTGGGCAATTTTATGTTCAAGAATGTGTTGGGTTTTTTAAATTCTGCTCTTAAAATACTGAGGGCAACAAGAACTCAGAGTCTTAACAATGTAAATGCTAAGTGTAAGTCTAATCTCCTACATGCAGATGTAAATCAACATTACTTGTTCAAATACTGATAAAAATTAGAACACAGTGAAGCCGAATGAACATAAGAAATATTTCACGTAATATTTACTGGAAAATTGCAACAGGGATTTTGTCTAATGAGTAAATACAGCATGAAGCCGTTGAGTCTTCTATCCCTGGGGTAAGATAATTTGAAACACATTTTTTCAGATCAAAAGTGTTATGTTGTCAAATATAAAAGCCCAATTTAGGCTGCATAATATTTAATTAAGAAAACAGCATTCCATACTGTGATTTATTTATTTTTTTTAAGTCCAAGGCCCCTTGAGTCATTTTATCTTCTTAACTTTAAGATTTGTACTGTGCCAGATCATGGGAAAGACACAATCAACTTTATTTTCATTACAAAGGAAGAAAAACCTAAAGGGAATCCTGTGAAAATCAAATCCAAACCCAAGATTTTCCAGTGATCACATAACTTGAAAAGGCCATCTGCTCACTCAAAATGGAGAGGAGCATGGTATGGGATCCTGTGGCTACGAGGATGGATAATAAAGATCCAGGTCACACAGAACAGCCACGAGAATACTTGAGTTTTCAGACTTAAGGGGACCCTCTCAGGGCTCCACAGCCACCATTTGCTCACCTTGACGCTTCTGTGGTGTATCCGCGATGGCTGGCATTTCACACTGCTGGTGTTGCAACAGCCAGTGCAACGCTTCACCTCCACGCAGGGCGGCCATATCAGGAAGTTGGCAGAGGTGGGATCAATCTGACTCCGAGGTATCTCGTATATAACCGTCCGTGTTTTGCAGACAGCCGGGATGGCTTCCTCTGCGGACACAAGAAATTCACACTTCCAGGTGAGCAGCTGCTCTCACCTCAGAGCACCCAGATACTTTACACCGTCGATTAATGAGTGGCACCCGTAGCTGGCGGGTTGAGAGGGTGTTCTCGTTCCCACTGCTCACTGACAAGCCGGTGCCGGGTACCGTTGTTTGCCTACCACTAAGCTGTTGTGTGCTACCTTAACTCACTCCCAAAAGCCAACCCTAAAGTGAGGGTTTACAATGGCCCGGCTCCCAACATAGCTCAGAGCACATACCATTAGATAAGGCAATTCTGGCTCTTTAGAAGTGACGGCAAGCCAGGGGCTTCTCCAGATTAGACGATCCTCGAATACAGCCTCATGGCAACTGAGTAACAGCAGCTGTTATTTTACAACGGTGGGGCCATCGTTGCACACGCATTGTCACACCAACTTGCAATACCTGACAAATACCTCCACAGAAGTTGTGCTGAGGATATTTATACCACACCCAGATTGACTGAGCTGGGCAACAACCTGCGCCAGCTTGAAACTTCGGAGTTTGGGTTTCCACTTGTAAAACCTTAACATCCCCGCATCGGGGATCTGGTCCATCTGCCGAAGGGCAACTGCCATTTTTCTGAATGAAGTTATCAAAGGTTTGTATAAGCTGGGCTTTATTTGTTGTTTTTTGCATGAGGCAAAACCACAAGAGTAGCATGACCTAAGAACCTGCAGTGTCATTTTCAGCTAAATCAATATCCTGCTGAGCTCGGGTAAGGTGAGCTTGTAGACAACCATTTCAGCCACATGAGGATCAGAAAGAGAAGCTCTTGCTGCTGCATGATGCTGCCATGGAAAATCCAGACCATGCATCATTCTCAACCTCGAGACTGCCTAAGAAGTCAAGCTGACAATTCAAAATGGTCCAGAAAATAACAGCAACTGCAGGGACAACTTGTTTGATGACAAGGTCTTAGAAGGCAGCTTGGATTTTTTTTGCCTTAGAGTGGAAGCAGTGCTAGCTTTGGGTTAGTTGTGTCAGGGAACTGGAATACTGCCTGCACTTCTTCAGTTACTTCTGAAGTACAAGAAGTTCAGAACTGGCTTGTGACTGTAACATGAAAATCTAGGCTTAGTCTTGAAAGAGATGCATTTAAGCCAGCTAAATAGAGTGAAAATTCCTCATCTCAATCCCCAATACCATGAACTCAAGACAATTAATTGATCCAATATTGCAAGATAACTGGCAACTCCTACAAGTTATTGAGCATGTGCATTCCCACTGACTTTTATGGGGAGGCATTCAGCACCTTGCAGAGTACGGTGCCAAGTGTAGCAGACTGTTTCAGAACCGCTGTTCTCTAGAGGCATTCAGTGTGACGAGCATGCTTGCCAATTCACACTGCAAATCCATGCTGACAGCATGTTGTGCTATCTCCTGTGTACCACCGTAGCTTAAAGTAGAAATATATTGACTCTGAATTACCTATAATAGAGAAGATCGTGGATCTTTTACACAGTCAAATGGAATGGTAAAACACTCAGATCTAATAAGATGAACAAGCACTGCATACAAATCCTATTCCATAATTCATTAATAACTCTTTAAATTTGTATTTGGGCTTCGTTGGATCACCATCATTATAGTTTAATAAGAAAAAAATCCCCTGTAAACATGCCTGGTGCCCTACACAATGATGGAAATCAATGCCCCAGCGTTTCAGTCAATGGCTTTTAATTTTTTGGATAAACTGTTTTCTTCTTTTGAATAAAGAGTCAAGCTGTTTCCTTTTGTGGAGCTTCTGTACTGAAAACTCTACCAACTGTTGATGTTTTTTAAAGCACACTGCTGTGGTTGTTCCCCACCCCATGAATTATACATTGAATATCACAGCATTTTCTAACCAAGGTCTAGCCTTCTAACATGCTGCAACAAGAAAGTGAATGTAAAGAATTTGTGCTTGTCTGTCTCCTATGGACATCCTCCAGAAGACAGCTTCTCAGGCAACGGCTTGTTTTGTGCAAAAAGAAAGGCAGAAACTAGAAATGGCCTTTTTCCTTTGTGCGTGTCACATTTTTCCAGTGAAATGTCCTGCTTGGCTGACCAAAAGCACCCCCTCTGTTTTTACTCCCTAAGTACAAATAGCTTGTTTCTTACCAATGCTTCTTTTTCTGCGAATGGGCACAGGACGATTCTCTTGCACATGTTTAGCAGAATGAACACTATAAGGTCTCAAGTTTGTTTCTGAAACATCATCATATCCTAAAACAGGAAACAAAATATTAAACCTCAGCTACGTTATTTGCATCATCATCGCTACAGTGCTGTCCCAAACACACAAATCTGTGCGGTACATATGCACAAGACCAAATCCTGATGCAATTAGTCTAATGTAGCTCCTGTCAATGCAATTGCAAGGGCATAAGGCAGGGAAGATATAGACGTTAAATGTCATGTATAAGCATGTACAACTTAATTCTAATATCCATTTTACTGAATGCCCCCAGAAATAGGGCACACTCTGTGACACAAAACCATATCTGAAGTAAAACAGTTGCATTTTTATGTGCATATGTGAAAGGCATAATACAGCTTTTCTTACTGGAAAGGTGTAGAAATAAGAACAATAATATTTCACATGAAATGTTTCTTACAAGAAGCTTTTTGAAGTTCTGGCATGAGACTACGGTAGAAAATATGGTATTACACACCCAACAGCAACAATGCTGCCTCTGTAAATTTTCTCTTGCTTGGTTTTCAGGGCAGTACTAGGACAGAATGAAAAGCAAAAAGTAACTAGCATGGGTTTCCTTTTAGCCTCTCTGTTGCAGAACAAATCCCCTGTGAAGTATCCTAACCTTTGGAGGGGCATCTGAAGCTACTGCAAACTCTGGGACTGCATCCAGGCTTGTCTTGTTCCCTAAATAAGCCTACCACATGGGTTAAAGGGCCATGAGAAAAAGCAAAGATTGAAAACTTGGCATTTAATTTATCATAAAAAAGCAACAAAATAACTGCTCCAACTATTTGGTTTTGTTAAGTGAAGCAGTCCAGGTCGTGTCCCATGCAGTGGGGTTCTGAAAACGACAAGCACAGTCTGCAAACAGAAGATCAGGAAGATGTAAGCAAACTGAGGACTGCATAGAGATTCCAGTACACCAAAACGACGATTTTTAGCACTCTCCTGCTTGGAGTGCCCGCTGTAAAATCACTGGAGAGTTTCAAGGTTTCATTGCTGGCTCCAAAGAAAACTGTACACTAAAAAAATATAAACGGTTATTAGACAGTACTCAATTACCCCCTCTACCTTCTACCAACATCCTACAATCCTCTGTCTTCTGCACTGTCACACTTCCAGTTCATTTTGCATCCACAGTTGACTGTGACTCTGGAGTGTGTTTCATTCTCAGCTTTACTGGTAATGCACATGATAAGGGTCTGCTCTACAAACCACCCAACTCCTTTTCTCCTCCCTCCAAGAAATCCTGCCCTAAAGAGCACACAGATGCTGAAATCACCTGCAGAGCCTGATAAGACACGAAGATAGTGGTACCTCCAGCACCTTAGGAAGAGCTCTGTGCCTCAAGGTCTCTTGGAAAATACTATCGTAGGTAGCTAAGAGAAGACGAAATGGGAGGTCCAAGACGTAGTGCCAGGATCACCCACTGGTCCTCTCTATTTTCCTGATCAGCTGAACAGATCCTTGTCTGAAATAAGTCGGTGTGAAATCCAGACTCTCAATTAACCCAAATAAGTTGGCTCCTGCTTCCCATGTAGAGTGCTTGTTTCCCATTGATTCTGAGGGGAAATTTTGGAAACTCATTAGCTTATAGTGGGCCTTATTTGCAGTCCCAGTCCTGTAATGTAACACAGCAATGACTAATGGCTTTCATTCCCGCTTTTATTGTACCCCATGCTCCAGAAAACTCATCAGTGGGGTAAATAAAACGGCTTTCCCGAGACCCCACAGGAAGTTTGCGACTGAGCTGGGGAGCGGAGACTCTCCTGCATCCCATTTCAATGGCACCAGGCCATCCACCTGACCCCAAATGGGGTTATGCAAAACAAGGATCCGTTCTGATGTTCCTTCAGCCCTCTTCCGCTTCCTAACGCTCAGCCAACACCTCAATACTGACCTCCTTTTTGGCAGCTTTGAGTTGTCACAACCTCTCCCTCAATTTGAGGCAACGAAGTGATACTCAAAAGAAAGCAGCATGAATTCTGCTCAGTGTAAGATCCAAGCTAGGCTCAGAGCAAGAAGCATCTCCGTCCGCGTTCAAACGGTGTTCAAAAAAAGATTAAACACAAAATTAATGCCTCTAATTCGAATTGCTTGGTGGGCACAGACATCTTGCTGAAAAGAGAAACCATCGATGATGCCAGCTGTACGGCAGGCCTGAGCCACAGGTCCCAATCCCACATTCAACACGCTGGCGTAGCTCCCTTCTAACATGACTGATTTCCTGCTGTCTTGCTTGAAGAAACTGGTAAGACTAAAGGAATAGTATGATCAGCTAACCAATATGTTAAGCCATGTGCTTATATATAACTGCTCAACTCGGCTGCAATTAGCCATATTCTATCATCATGTTTATAAAGCAAAATGACATGTCGAGGAGCATGTGTTGCTTATAAAGATGATTTCTAAGGTGAAGAAGGCCTCTGGCTCATACTGTATCTCACTGTCTCGCTACATATCTTAGGCATGTATATCATTTCATAAGTTCAAGTCTCGCTGTGGGGGTTAAAAAAAGAGATCTGCACAGCTAGCACAGCAGACTGCAAAGCAAGTTCCAATCCTCAATGCATTATGCAACACAAATTGTATTATTTCTATCGACACAGCATCAATGTGGGGTTTTTTTAATAAACAGAATTATGGAGCACATGGCTGGTGCCAGAAGACACTATAATGCTAAAGGCACTTGGTGTCCCCCTGATCCCCACAGGCATTTGGAAGGAATTCCATTTCCCAGTGAAGTCAGTGAGAAAATCACTGCACTTCAAGCGATCTTTTAAGTCAACAGGTGTCCTGCCCGAGCAGGACTGAAAAAATCAGAAAGTCAGCTTTGAAACCCACACTTGACGCTGGATGTGTGGCCAGAAGACTTTCTTTTATGTCACTCAAACAACGATGCTACGGTAATTACAAATAGCACTCTCTAGCTGGACTTTAAAGAAGCCTGATACCTAATTTACAACCCGGCAAAAAGGATTCCCAAACGAATCATGTCAGAATTTGCATCAGTCTTTCCCCCCCAGTGTACTGACTCAGGAGCATGAAGTTGCAGGATAAGGTGTTTCAGCTCTTAGCAAAGGAAATGGGAGTTTATGGGTGCTTAGCGCCTCACAAAATGAGGCTTAGAGCAGAAAGCTTAGAAATGGGTGGTTCTTAGTTTAGAAATTGAACATTGCTTGTCACTAAGCGAAGATGGAGGATGCTGCACAGAGCCAGATTAATGCAGCTCTCTTTTAACATTTTAATAATAAAAAAATGTTTTCATGGCAGCCGATCAAGAAATTTCTCTGTAATCTTCTATGTACTGACAACATATCAATGATGGGTAGAAAAACTCTTGCAATTAGCCTTGGACAATCCATTAGTGTAGCTGAAATTGTTCTTTTTTGTCAGATTGGCATTTTTCCACTGGGTCATGGAGTATAAATCACAGAGTTCCTGTGACATTCTGCCAATATGTGATTACTCTTCTCCCTAAATAAGCATGTGGAAAGCATCCTAAGACTACTATTATATTTATCAATTCATACTTTCTCGTTGCTATCTCCTTGCCAAACAATTTTATGTGAGGTACAATCTCCAATGTACGCAGTCTTAACACAAACCCTTCTAGATACCACTGTGATGTGCATCCAAAACATATAGGTCCAAGACTTCGAGTACCAACAGCAGCAGCCGAGGAAATTCTCATTATCTCTTTTTTCAGGAATTCAATATAAGGTACAAAAAACTGAAATGGTCTGTCTTACAGATCGGTCCCAGAGCCAGAAAGCCCAAGGCAACATCAATCTGTTTGTTTGATCTTCTTTCTGGCTGATGCAGAATATGCCCTTCTGACATCCAACTGCAGAGATAGATGTCATTAAGTTTTCAACTTTGATCTATTAAAGGAAATATAAGTAGCAGCCTGCAAGATCCTGTTTTGTTTAGGTTTTTTTCCCCCTTACCTAGATGTGATCAACCAGCTGTAAAGGAGGAGGAGTATTGCCTCTATCAGTCTAAGGAAAACACAGGACACACATGGCAGATGCCAGCCTCATCCAACGTTTAAGAGGTGCAAGGAAAGCTAACGCATTGTAACACCCTTAATTTGAGCACCACACCAAAAGCCACAGAGTCAACAGAAGATTTTCCGATAGATTGAGCTCTGCGGCAACCTTAACACTTTTACATGAAAGTCTACTGTTAATTTAGAACGTTTCTCCACTTAACAAAAGCTGCTCTACTAGTTCTTAATCACAGGCCGTTAAATTCACATGGCCTAAGGTGACCCTGTGGTTGATGCCCTTAAACCATGCAAAGAAGCACACTGAGCCCTGCCTTTCCCCAGGCAGGGAGATGACTGGGGGAAAAAATCTGTTCCCAGCGGGAGGCAAACATAATAGGTGATGAAATGAACTCTACCTCCCACAGGACAGATGGGAGAGGTGAAGCGCGAGGAGAAAAACCACGCTGCTAAGCCAAAGAGAACGTCACAGGCGGAATATAGGAAATGCCCCCGTTTCGGTGATTTAGTCTGTTAGTAGTAAAACTGTACTCTGCACGCTACAGCTGCCTACTTCCTGGGATCGTGCATGCTTTCTGTTTTAAATGAGTCAGACTTTGCTCTCCGTCACACCAACGAAACTCCATTGCCGACTATGGATCCCAATCACAGAAAATTAATGTAAGACCCTGTTTTCTGCTATAAACAGAGAATTTTCATGCTGCCTTTGCAGGGATTTCTCTTTGAATCGGTCATGCAGCACTGGGCTCTGACAAACTGGCCTGGATTTTCTTTTTTGAATACAATGATAAGCTCCATGTTGGGTAGTGTTTTTCTTTAAGTAATACGCCAGATGGTCTGGGGGTGTGGTTTCTAATTTTATGAAGGGGGTTATCAGTCATCTTTGTGCTACAATATAGAGACCAAATCTGCCAGAATAGAAGAAAAACCTGCCCACTCTGACTTACAAAACTTACTTTTCCAATTAAAAATATATGCTTTGCATTGCAGGAGAGAAAATGACTGCTCTTCCTTCAT